TGCGGCAATTTTTTTTCCCCTCACACCCAGACCAAACTAGATGCGTAGATACAGTGTCAGCCGTGTCCTTGAGGGGCCTTAGCAATGTAGAGGCCAACCGCAGTCCCTTTGTGCCTACCTGCTTCGCTACGCCCTGCCCTCACCTGCATGTTGCTAATTAACGCACCTGCCATTAGCCTAGATGAACCCTCGTGAGTAGGACGTCCTCGTACTGTGTGTGTGTGTGTGTGTGTGTGTGTGTCTTACGTCTCCTGTCTGTATCTGTCGTATGTTTATGTACTGTCTGTATGTATGTATCAGTATCTATATGTATGTATATTTGCGCTATAATTCGATATAGGAGACAGCTTGGCATATATATGTATGTATTATTCTCAGAGCAGTGTGTCGGGGCGTAAAAGTGTTGGTATATATATCACTGAGGAACCCTGCCATTACCTGTGTGTTAGTACAGTCGTCACGCCATCTACCTGTGTGTTGGCTTTATCTGTCGGCTTTACCACCTCTACACACCTGTCTGTCTGCTGCACCACCTCTACACACCTGTCTGTCTGCTGCACCACCTGCCCACACACACACACACACACCTGTCTGAACCTACACTGCTCTTCTCCACACCCACATCCGTTGCCCCGTCTTTCCTCCTCCTTCTCCTCCACCTCCTCCTCCTCCTTCCTCCTCCTCCTCCTCCTCTCTATCTCTCACTGTCTTCGTAATTGCCCTTCAGTCCTCCCTGTCCCCCGTCTCTTGCCTCTCAACAGCTTTTTTTCTCCTACTTTTCCAAACTTACTTTATTGATTCCCTCCGCCTCTTCCATCTCAGGCATCTCCCCTCCCTCCCTCCCTCCCTCCCCTCCCCCACCACCACTCTTCTCCCCTCTCTTCCCTTCCCTACCTCCCTCCTTCCCTCCCCCCTCACCTAGCACCACTCTGCTCCTTCCCTTCTCCCTCCTCCTCCCCATCTCAAACACCATTCTCTCTCCTCTCCCCTCCCAAGGACAATACCCCTCTGTTCATCCTCCCCTCCCTCCCTCCACTTCCCCCCCTCCCTCCCAGGACTTCCCTAGCTGCTCTTTCATTTTCTCTATCCTTCCTTCCTTCTTTTCTTCATCTTTCTCTTTTCTTCATACCACTTCATATATTCTTTCTCATTTCTCTTACAGCTTCTTTTATTATGACTTTTTTCCCCAAATAATTCTCTTCCGCCGTTTATTTTCCTCGGTTCTTTTTCCTCCTGACCTTCTTTTCCTCTTCTCTCTCTCAGGTGGCAGGGTTTAATAATTACCTCACCTTCTCGATAATTACTGTTTGTCAGGTGAGTCCGGTGTCTCTAAGGAGCCCCCCCCATCACCCGCCTCACCCCCCCACCCCTTGGCCTTCCCTCACATTACCATCACTGACCTCCCTCCCCTCCACCTGAACCTTTTCTTCCACTTCCTGACCTGACCTCCCATCACCTGTTGCCTTAACTCCCATCACCACCTGGTCTGAACCCCCATCACCACCTGGTCTGCCCCCCATCACCACCTGGCCCAACCCCCATCACCACCTGGCCTGACCTCCCATCACCACCACCTGGCCAGACCTCCCATCACCACCTGGCCTGACCTCCCACTACCACCTGGCCCAACCCCACACCACCCGGCCCGACCCCTTACAAACACCACCACCACCTCTTGAGGACGATAACTTAACCTCTTGAAGACGATAACTTAACCTCTTAAGGACGATAACCAAACCTCTTGAGGACGATAACCTAACCTCTTGAGGACGATAACCTAACCTCTTGAGGACGATAACCTAACTTCTTGAGGACAATAACTCAACCTCTTGAGGACGATAACCTAACCTCTTGAAGACGATAACTTAACCTCTTGAAGACGATAACTTAACCTCTTGAAGACGATAACTTAACCTCTTGAGGACGATAACCTAACCTCTTGAGGACGATAACCTAACCTCTTGAGGACGATAACTTAACCTCTTGAGGACGATAACTTAACCTCTTGAGGACGATAACTTAACCTCTTGAGGACGATAACCTAACCTCTTGAGGACGATAGCCTAACCTCTTGAAGACGATAACCTAACCTCTTGAGGACAACTTAACCCCTTGAGGACGATAACCTAACCTCTTGAGGACGATAACCTAACCTCTTGAGGACGATAACCTAACCTCTTGAGGACGATAACTTAACCTCTTGAGGACGATAACTTAACCTCTTGAGGACGATAACTTAACCTCTTGAGGACGATAACTTAACCTCTTGAGAACGATAACCTGGTACTCGGAAAAACTGGCACCGGAAAAATGGCACAGGAAAATATGGCACAATTTTCATACTCGGAAAAAATGGCACAACAAATTTCACTTCGAGCTCACGAACCACAAACGAGCTAACGAGCCTATGTTTGAAACTATCCAGCGCATTAAAGTTAATGATGATGTTTGGTAACTTGTTATATCACCTTTATTTAGCCCTGACTTCCACCTCTATCAGGTCGCCCCTCACTCTACGTCTCTTGAGGGAGTGCAGATTAAGATGCTTTAACCTGTCTCTATACTCAAGGTTCCTAATGCCCGGGATTAGTCTTGTCATTCTCCTCTGAATTCTTTCAAGGGATTCTATGTTCATCCTGTAGTACGGTGACCAGTACTGAACTGCATTCCAAGTGAGGTCTCACTTAGCCCAGTATGGGCCAATAGGCCCGCTGCAGTTCCCTCCATTCTTATGTTCTTGTGTGTCTCTCTCTGTCTCGTCTCTCTCAGGACCAACACTCAGTCTCTTCGTGATGGTGAGGAGATGGCCCAGGGGAAATGGTTATAGATCCTTGATGTTCTTGTGTAATTTTCCTAAGTTTATACAGAAGAAGCGGAAAGGGGCTTTTTGACGTATATCCTGAAGGTGGCGGTGCTGGGGCGTCTGGGGGAGGTGGAAGGGTGTGGGGGGTCTTGGGGTGGTGAGGGGTGGAGTGTCTCTATTGTCCTGAGGCGAGGATGAAATCTGCCGCTTTTATTTTCTTTTGGTGGTGGCTGACGCGGGGAGGGGAAGGAGGGGTCAGGGGTCCAATGTAGTCTGGAGGTCGGGGGACGGTAAGAGTGGTCGGGGGGCTGGGCATGTAGAGGGTGGTCGGGGGACGGTAAGAGTGGTTGGGGGCTGGGCAGGTAAAGTGTAGTCGAGTGGTCGGGTGGTTAGTAAGTGATCAGGGGTGGTCGGGGGAGAGTAGAGTGTAGAGAGTTGACAGCCCACTGTCCAAACCAATCACCTCGGAAGAACTCAACACAGTCATCTCCAATACCAAAAATAAAGCCCCTGGTTATTCAGGCATCACCAAGGAGATCCTCAGCCACATAAACAACCCGGCCATGGAGAGACTGAGAACCACAATGAACGCTTGCCTGGCCTCGGGTTACTTCCCAACTAAATTCAAAGAGGCCATTATTACCCTAACACCAAAACAAGGAAAGAACCCTGCCGTCCCACTAAACTACAGACCGATCTCCCTCCTCGAAGTACCTGGAAAATTCCTAGAAAAAATCATCAACAACCGTCTGAGAAATCACCTGGAAACAACAAACAGAGTCAACTGCAGACAATTCGGGTTCAAGAAAGGGAAGTCCACCACAACAGCGATAGCCCTGGCATGTGAAAACATAGCCAGAGCCGCGGCGAGTGGTAGACAATGTAATCTAACTCTCCGGGATGTAGCGAAGGCATTTGACAAAGTCTGGCACGACGGTCTAAAATATAAGATCATCCAACTCGGATTTCCCACCAACATTGAAAGTTGTTTTGTAACTTTCTTGACGGCAGAAATGCTAGACTGAGGGTAGGACAACACACGGGAGAGACCTTCCCACTCATGAGCGGAGTCCCTCAGGGGAGCGTCCTCTCCCCCACCCTATATATTATCTACTCAAATGACACCCCGCCACCCACTAAAATAGGTAACGAAGATATTATGTATGCAGATGACATCACTCAAATAACAACACATCAAGGAAAATCGCGAGCGTTACAGGCCGACAACACCAGGCGGGAATTAGAAAGGGTAAATAATTACGAAAAACAATGGAAAATCCAAACCAGTCTCCCGAAATTCATAGTGATACCCTTATGCAGAAGGAAAACCCATCCATTAGTAACCAATAATGCCCAGATAGAATACAAAAGCAGAGGCACCCTCCTGGGCCTGCATATATCCACGACATATATCCCATCATGTCCACAGCAGGAAGGAAAAGGCAAGAAGAGAGCTGAGAAAACTATTCCGCTTTAAAGCGCTTCCTAAGAAAATAAAACTCCGCCTGGTGACATCATTTATCACACCGATATTAATTTACCCAGCAGTACCTCTTTATACTATGAGCACCACTCAAATATTAAAATTACAGGTGGCCCAAAATGAAGCCCTAAGATTCGTCACAGGTGAAAGATACCCCTTCACCAGAACCACAGCCGAGATACATAGAGACCTGAGAATAAAACCCATCAACCAGCAGCTGCACACCCTGGCCAGCAGAATCTGGCAAAAGATAGAACGATCAGAGCAAAAACTCCTTCAAAGACTCCCACCAGATAACGACAACAACCATACATGGTTCCCAAAAAGTTACCAAATCTCAAAAGGTCCATTACTACCCCCGATCTACACGGCCAGGCAATAGACAACCTCCCTAGACCAGCATCCGCCAGTAGGGTCGGCGGAATATGAAATAGGGCCCTTAAAACACCCATATATGGGACAGGGTAGGATGTCTAGTGCCTGTACCGACAGACAATAGCTAATCCATTAGGTTAGCTAGGCGGTCAGCCCGCCCTCTCTTACCTCCTCCTAAATTTCTTCAATTTCCGAACTATAACTTCCTTCCCCCACCTCCAATCTTCTTTCATCCTCCTTTCCCTAAAAAAAAAAATGTACTGAGGGGGGTAAGGCATGTGTAGTAATCGAGGACAATAATTGTTATATAAAGTTGACAAGTCCTCGGGATGAAGGAGACTACTGTGTTGGGTCTGCTGTTGCTGCTGTGTTGGGTCTGCTGTTGCTGCTGTGTTGGGTCTGCTGTTTGTTGCTGCTGTGTTGGGTCTGCTGTAGCTGCTGTGTTGGGTCTGCTGTTGCTGCTGTGTTGGGTCTGCTGTTGCTGCTGTGTTGGGTCTGCTGTTTGTTGCTGCTGTGTTGGGTCTGCTGTAGCTGTTCTGTTGGGTCTGCTGTTGCTGCTGTGTTGGGTCTGCTGTTGCTGCTGTGTTGGGTCTGCTGTTTGTTGCTGCTGTGTTGGGTCTGCTGTAGCTGTTCTGTTGGGTCTGCTGTTGCTGCTGTGTTGGGTCTGCTGTTGCTGCTGTGTTGGGTCTGCTGTTTGTTGCTGCTGTGTTGGGTCTGCTGTAGCTGTTCTGTTGGGTCTGCTGTTGCTGCTGTGTTGGGTCTCTGCTGCTGTGTTGGGTCTCTGCTGTTGCTGCTGCGTTGGGTCTCCTGTTCCTGCTGTGTTGGGGTCTGCTGTAGCTGTTCTGTTGGGTCTGCTGTTGCTGCTGTGTTGGGTCTCTGTTGCTGTGTTGGGTCTCTGCTGTTCTGTTGGGTCTGCTGTTGCTGCTGTGTTGGGTCTCTGTTGCTGTGTTGGGTTTCTGTTGCTGTGTTGGGTCTCTGTTGTTGTGTTGGGTCTGCTGTTGCTGCTGTGTTGGGTCTTCTGTTGTGTTGGGTCTCTGTTGTTGTGTTGGGTCTCCTGTTGTGTTGGGTCTCTGCTGCTGTGTTGGGTCTCTGTTGCTGTGTTGGGTCTCTGTTGTTGTGTTGGGTCTGCTGTTGCTGCTGTGTTGGGTCTTCTGTTGTGTTGGGTCTCTGTTGTTGTGTTGGGTCTCCGCTGTTGTGTTGGGTCTCTGCTGCTGTGTTGGGTCTCTGCTGTTGTGTTGGGTCTCTGCTGCTGTGTTGGGTCTCTGTTGCTGTGTTGGGTCTCTGTTGCTGTGTTGGGTCTCTGTTGCTGTGTTGGGTCTCCTGCTGCTGTGTTGGGTCTCTGCTGCTGTGTTGGGTCTCTGTTGCTGTTGGGTCTCTGCTGCTGTGTTGGGTCTCTGCTGCTGTGTTGGGTCTCTGCTGCTGTGTTGGGTCTCTGCTGCTGTGTTGGGTCTCTGCTATTGTGTTGGGTCTCTGCTGCTGTGTTGGGTCTCTGCTGTTGCTGCTGCGTTGGGTCTCTGCTGTTGCTGCTGCGTTGGGTCTCCTGTTCCCCTTTGTGTTTGGGTCTGCTGTAGCTGTTCTGTTGGGTCTGCTGTTGTTGCTGTGTTGGGTATCTGTTGCTGTGTTGGGTCTCTGTTGTTGTGTGTTGGGTCTCTGCTGTTGTGTTGGAGTCTCTGCTGTTGTGTTGGGTCTCTGCTGCTGTGTTGGGTCTCTGCTGCTGTGTTGGGTCTCTGTTGCTTATGTTGGGTCTCTGTTGCTGTGTTGGGTCTCTGCTGTTTATGTCTCTGTTGCTCTCTGCTGTTGTGTTGGGTCTTGGGTCTCTGCTGCTCTGCTGTTGTCTCTGGGTCTGTTGTGGGTCTCTGTTGCTGTGTCTCTGCTCTGTTGCTGTGTTGGTCTCTGCTGTTGTGTTGGGGTCTCTGCTGCTGTGTGTGGGTCTCTGTTAGTCTCTGTTGCTGTGTTGGGTCTCTGTTGCTGTGTTGGGTCTCTGCTGCTGTGTTGGGTCTCTGCTGTTGTGTTGGGTCTCTGTTGCTGTGTTGGGTCTCTGCTGCTGTGTTGGGTCTCTGCTGCTGTGTTGGGTCTCTGCTGCTGTGTTGGGTCTCTGCTGCTGTGTTGGGTCTCTGCCTATTGTTTGGGTCTCTGCTGCTGCTGTGTTGGGTCTCTGCTGCTGCTGCGTTGGGTCTCTGCTGTTGCTGCTGCGTTGGGTCTCCTGCTGCTGCTGTTGTTGGGTCTGCTGTGTTGGCCTGCTGCTGTGTTGGGTCTCTGCTGCTGTGTTGGGTCTCTGCTGCTGTATCTCTGCTGCTGCTGTTGTTGCTGTGTTGGGGTCTCTGCTGTGTGGTCTCTGTATGTTGGGTCTCTGCTGCTGTGTGGGTCTCTGCTGCTGTGCTGTGGTCTCTGTTGTGTTGGGTCTGTCTCTGCTGCTGTGTTGGGGTCTCTGCTGCTGTGTTGGGTCTCTGCTGCTGTGTTGGGTCTCTGCTGCTGTGTTGGGTCTCTGCTGCTGTGTTGGGTCTGTGTTGGGTCTCTGCTGCTGTGTTGGGTCTCTGTGCATGTTGGGTCTCTGCTGTGTGTTGGGTCTCTGTTGCTTGTTGGGTCTCTGCTGCTGTGTTGGGTCTCTGCTGCTGTGTTGGGTCTCTGCTGCTGTGTTGGGTCTCTGCTGCTGTGTTGGGTCTCTGCTGCTGTGTTGGGTCTCTGCTGCTGTGTTGGGTCTCTGCTGCTGTGTTGGGTCTCTGCTGCTGTGTTGGGTCTCTGTTGCTGTGTTGTTCTGCTGCTGTGTTGGGTCTCTGCTGCTGTGTTGGGTCTCTGTTGTGTTGGGTCTCTGTTGTTGTGGGTCTCTCTGCTGCTGTGTTGGGTCTCTGCTGCTGTGTTGGGTCTCTGCTGCTGTGTTGGGTCTCTGTTGTCTGGTTCTCTGCTGCTGTGTTGGGTCTCTGCTGCTGTGGTGGGTCTCTGCTGCTGTGTTGGGTCTCTGCTGCTGTGTTGGGTCTCTGCTGCTGTGTTGGGTCTCTGCTGCTGTGTTGGGTCTCTGCTGCTGTGTTGGGTCTCTGCTGCTGTGTTTCGTGTTAGTGATGTTTTGAGACTTTGTATTGTTTTGTGCTGTATTTTTCTTGTTATGTACTGCTGTGAAGTATGGTGGTGGTAATAGTAGTAGTACCGTAGTGTTACTTGTGTTAGAAGTACCGGTAGTAGTCTTATTATTATTATTATTATTATTATTATTATTATTATTATTATTATTATTATTATTATTATTATTATTATTATTATTATTATTATTATATTTGTCAATTCTCTTCAGGCTTTCAATTACTATATACCTGGTGTTTACAGGTAAGACTGAGTGCTGGAGACCCCGAGGTTACTGTCATCACCACCACCTGTACCACCTGTTCGCTGCTCTTCTGTATCGTAAGAAACTTTTTAAACCAATATATTATAGCTCATACTTTGTTAAGCGGATGTATTATAAGGAATTATTGTTAGAGCTAATTTATTTTTATAACGAGTTTTTGTAACAAATTTGGTGTAAGAACGACTTCGATTTAATTGGTGTTTATACATATGCAGGACGTGTGTGTGTGTGTGTGTGTGTGTGTGTGTGTGTGTGTGTAGTATGCATGTATAGTGTGTATGTTCTATAAAAGTCTATGAACATATGTTGAATGCATGTGTGTGTTTATTCTGTTTGTGTGGTTAAGAGTGTAGAAGTGGTGACGTGGGTCTTCAGTCCCATGATGGCGTGGCGTGGCGTGGTCATGGAGCCATCAACTTTAATAACGCGGCTGAACACCGTAGGGGCAGGCAGTTCAAGGCCAACTCCTCCAACATGGATAACTTGGACCACCATATACCGTGGGTCGGTCAGTGAGGGCGGGAGCTCTTCTCTTGTCAACAACCTTTGTATTTCGTCGCGAGAGATCTGTTTTATGCAGTGGCATATCCGTACAGGTGTGTGTGTGTGTGTGTGTATGTGTGCATGCGTGTGTAGGTATATGTGCGTGTGTGTGTGTGCATATGTGTATGTGTATGTGCTTGTGTGTATGTATATCTGTATGATAATAATAATAATAATTAAAGGTGTGTGTGTGTGTGTGTGTGTGTGTGCGCGCGCGCAAACCCGTGTATATATAACATAAGAACATAACATAAGAAAATAAGGAGTCTGCAATAGGCCGGTTGGCCTGTGCATGGCAGCTCCTGTCGAGAGTGACTACCACTCTCTATCATCCATGAATCTATCCAGCCTCCTTTTGAAACTTCCCAGCGTTCCAGCACTTACTACAAAGTTGCTAAGCTTGTTCCACTCGTCCACCACCCTATTTGTGAACCAGCTCCTTCCTATCTCCCTCCTAAACCTAAACTTATCCAACTTAAATCCGTTGCTCCGAGTCCTATCCTGCTCGGATATTATAAGAACTTTATCTATATCCCTTTTATTGATTCCTTTCACCCACCTAAATACTTCTATCATATCTCCCCGCACTCTTCGTCTTTCTAGGGAATGCAAGTTAAGTTTCTTTAACCTATCCTGATATGGAAGGTTTCTAAGTCCCGGAATCATTTTCGTCATTCTTCGCTGCACCGACTCTAGTGAATTTATATCCATTCTATAATAGGGGCACCAGAACTGAACCGCATAATCGAGGTGCGGCCTGACTAGCGCAAGATATAGTTGCAATAAGACCTCTGCACTCTTATTACTTACACATCTAGATATAAAACCCAATACTCTGTTTGCCTTATTTCGAACATTAACCAACAGGTGTTGGTTCAGAAGTTGCTGTAGAGAAACGAATAATTTATTGTCGTCATATTCTCCATAATAATCAAAGGGTTAAAGGTGTTGTACTGTAAAGGCATTATACTCAAGACGTTATTTAGTCATCGTAAATCGAGGTGTTAAGCCATACGAGATCCTACTCAGTATACTGGGGCAGGTTGGCAGCGTTAAAACACCTCTTTAATAATTTACTCACTAACAAAACCAATGGCCCCTCAGACACCTCACCCACTCTACTGTAAGGAACAATTATTGTCAATTCGTCTGTCCTGCACACACTATAACACGATATTAGGTCAGGTCAGGTCAGGTCAGGTCAGGATATTGGAGGTTTATGACAAGAGGCCAGGTATGTCCTCCCGAAGACAAAGGATCAGTAGGTGTATTTATCTTTCATTTTTTATTTAGTGTTTGCTTAGAGGAGTGGGGAGGGGGAGGGGGGTGTATCGAAGCCTGTGTAAGCCCAGCTGTTTAGTATTCATGCCGACTGCCTCCTCCTCGCCTCTGCTTGATGTGATAGTTTATCTTCATGTTGTGGACTCCAGCTCATAATCCCGCCACCATCACCATGCTTTGTTCCCTCCCTCAATCCCTCCCGACCGACCGACGACAACAACCACGATCTTCCAATATTTCTCGAGCAGGCAGCAATCACCACCGACAAGCAAGGTAAATGTCGTGCTCTCGTGACTAGTATAAGCGTGTTTATTGTGGGTGGGGGTGATGATGCTTGTATTGTGTTAAAGGTTTTGTATGTCGTGTTAGGAATTGTCTTAATATTTAATTATTTTTTCTCACACACACACACACACACACACACACACAAAACATTATCTCGCCAATTTGACCCCCCCCCCTCCTAGGTACGACCCCTCCTGAAGGATCATGTAACGAGAATTACCCCTCCCCTCCTCCTTTAGGCATCAGAAAGTGGCACGTTCACACCGGCACATTCTCCACGTTCTCCTAACCTTCCAGCGTGACTCTGTACCGTGAGGAATGTCTGGCCTGGAAATTACCTGACCGGGGAAGATGAGAGGCTGAGGGTGTTGAAGAGATGAGGTCGGGTATAGGTTCAGGTATTGATGGGTAGGGGAGAGGCGGGTCATGGTAGTCAATCTCCTACGACATCCCTCACCACCCCCACACCCAGGACTCCCCCTCCTCCCATGTCCCCTTTCCCACCCCCAAAAAGGACCCCCCACCCCACAGCACACCCCAAAAAGAACGTCCTCTCCCCCACCACCCTCAAAATGACTCCACCTTCCTCACCACCCCCAAAAAGGACTCACCCATCTCCCCTAAAAGGACTCGCTCGTGTACCCGTATCCTTGGGGTCCCTGTGTGAGGTGATTACAGTGGGACATACATCAGGCTGGGCGGGGTGAGGATGGGGGGCGCGGCGGTGGTGTTGTGACTGTGGGCGTCTCGTTAGTGGCGGGCCATTGTGGGAATCACCAAGTCAAATGAGGCTCTGAGTCTCATGTCAGGTCAACTCGGGTTACAGTTAAATCGCCTCAGATCAGAATTTATCTAGGAAGAGTTGGGTTCGACTTGGGTGTGTGTGATATGATTATAAGAACGAAAAAAACACAAGATACTTCATTTAATAGTCAATATCCAATCAGCTGTTATGCAAAACCACGCGGAAAATATTCACAGAGGTAACACAGTCGTGTACTATTTATTGCGATGGGTTGTACTGGCTCTTTCGTCTTACAAGTCTCGTTATATTCGGTCATGTCTGGCGGAGTAACACTTTGTTTACCTGTTTTGTTTTGATCCCAGCCACCACTGAAGTGATTGCCTTACACAGATACGCCGATGACAGGAGGGCTCACTGGATTACTTTCTGTACACTGGCAGGTACTCCACCCAACACTTTGCCACAGAAGCAAACTTAAAAACTGCTCTGACCTGGTTTCAGGGACGACCTCGACTGCAATGTAAAAGGGATTCCTGGCAAGACTGTAATTGAATTTGCTTTCATTGATGTCAGGAAAACATCGATGGAACTCGTCCTCCAAAGCTTGAGGGTAACTCTCGTTCTCGACTCTAAGGACATCACTGAGGTTTTTGTCATTCAGGATTTCAGGACGAAGAAAAGAGACTTCCTTTGTTTGATGCGACGCCTCCACAGCTGCAGCTTGACGGTGAATGTTCAAATTGCATTATAGTTGCCAACAGTATTTACCTCGTAACTTACGGTTGAGGACATTTAAGACATCAAAAATCTCTGCCAGGTAAGCCAATAACAAACTGAGCTCCTCTTAATTAAAGGTGGTGAAGTAGTAATTTTCTTCAGTTTCAAGAACCAATCTCACTTCTTCTCAGCTCATACAAGCGACCCAAGGTGTTGCCCTCTGAGAGCCAGCGAACGTTAGTGTCTCGTGTCCTGCTCCTGAGTCACGACACAGCTGCACAAACAATCGGGTGTCAGACTCAAGTTCAAAACCAGTCTAGTTTAAGTAAATGTGTTGGTCGTTAGTCACGCATTAATTACCCTGCATTATGGAGTCCGTACCACTTCAGGGACGACACTAACGCTCCGCTGAGTCATGTGAGTCGTAATGAACCTAACTGTGTGTGTGTGTGTGTGTGTGTGTGTGTGTGCACGATCATGTCACCAGTTGCATCACATCGTTCCACCTGTGATTATTGTAGTTACTCTTAAGTAATTAAAAGCATCCTGATGACAGTAGTTGATCATGTTGTAAGCACCACTGTGTACACTACCTGTTATCTCGATTAAATTTTCATTAGCAGATTACTTTAATTTCTGACATTAAGACTTGGTACAGTTAATATAAATCCCAACCAGGTCATTATGTTGTTTGTAATTTCTGTAAGCGGCGGGAGACCTATAATGAGTACTGTTGTGAGGGATGATTATAGGGACTCAGGCGTCGTGTTGTTTCACTGTCACTGTTGATGTAACTGGTCCATAGTCTGTAAATATTTATTCATATCCACTAATATATTTTTAGAAGGAAAGGGAGGTGGTCTAGTGTTGGGGGTGGGGGTGGAGAGGTGGGATGGAGTAGGGTGGGAGTAGGGGTGGGATGGAGTGGGGGAAGTTGGAGAGGGGGGTGGGGTTCGAAGTGGAGAGGAGAGGGTAGGTGGAGAGGGGCAGGGGTGGGGTGGAGAGGAAGGGTGGGGTGGGGCGGGGTGGAGAGTGTGGGGTGGGTCGGAGAGGATAGGTGCGGCGGGGTGGAGAGGATAGGGGTGGGGCAGGGTGAAGAGGCTGGGGGCGTGATAGGAAAAGGTCAAATGTTTTTGTATTGCCGTAAGCAACACAAGGTGATGGGGAAGGGCAGGCTCTCTACCACCGACACGACAACAGCTAAGTCAGGGACAGGGCTGGCAAGGAAGGTACAGAAACCTGAATTGTTGTTGATTCCCAGGTACTGTACCTGAATAGAGCTTTCTGTGCTGAAAATAAAAATAGGAAAAGAGTGTGTTTGCCAGGATGGACAATATCTTGTTTGGTCATGGGAACAAACCCATTATCTGCCTCAGTGCAGGAGGCAATGATGTTGGCCTGTGTAGGAGTGAGGAGCTTCTTGATAAGTTCAAGACAGCTAAAGATCGTATTAGGACTAAGGGAGGGATCCCTATCATATGTGGTGTCCTGCCTAGAAGGATAGTTGGCAATGAATGGTTGTCAAGGGCAGTTGGTGTCAACGGCCGTCTTGACAGATATTGCAAGTCAATATCAGTCCCATTCGTTGACAACTGGGACAACTTTTACGGCAGAAGGGACCTTTATGCTGGCTGGGTCTCTAGAGGGGGCAGTTCAAAAGATATCGAAGTCTTCAAACTGCTAGGGGAACATATGAGCACGGGGGTGGAGGAGCCTGCATTGGGAGCGGGTAAACAAAGTGAAAAGTTAAAGAAATAGTGCTAGGGATGATGACATAACTAAATTAGGCAAGTAGTTAAAACCTAAACGCGACAAAGAGAGGACTCACGAGGAAGTATTTGTGGAGGTGGTGGAGGTGGAGGAGGAGGAGGAGGAGGTGGTGAAGAAGATGGTGGTGGAGAAGGTGGTGGTGGTGGTGGAGGAGGTGGTGGTGGAGGAGGATGGGTGGTGGGAGAAGGTGGTGGTGGTGGGAGGAGGTGGTGGTGGAGGAGGAGGAGGTGGTGGTGGTGGTGGTGGAGGTGGAGGAGGAGGAGGAGGTGGTGAAGAAGATGGTGGTGGAGAAGGTGGTGAAGAAGATGGTGGTGGAAGGTGGTGGTGGTGGAGGAGGTGGTGGTGGAGAGGATGAGGTGGTGGAGGAGGAGGTGGTGGAGGAGGAGGTGGTGGTGGTGGTGGTGGTGGTGGAGGTGGGGAGGAGGAGGAGGAGGATGAGGTGGTGGAGGGTCAGGAGGCGGTGATGGTGAAAGAGGTGATGATGGTGGTGGAACAGATGGGGGGGGGGGATGGGGAACCGGCTTAAGTTACTGGTGATGGTAACAACAGTGTGTAGAGTACCAGCCGTGTGTGTTTACCAGTCTTTGTTGGTAATCTATTCCTTGTTTATCGTCCGTATTGCCTAATTCTTGTGTTTATCGCCTTCATTCTGTCCTCCTCAGTTCGTAAGATCATCAGGACAAGGATTGATTGATTTGTGGTCAAGATCAAACACACTTCACTACCTTATAAAACAGTAAAAATCTTCATTGTGGGAATTAACACGCGTAAAAACTTGAGATGGGTGGGGAATTTTTGGGTGTGGTGGGGAAACTAGTGAAATAGGGAAAAACTATTGGAATAAGGTAAAAAAAATTAATGAGGTAGGGAAAAATAATGCGGTGGGGAAAAAATAATGAAGTATGGAAAAAATAATGAGATAGGGAAAAAATAATGAGGTAGGGAAAAAAAATAATGCGGTAGGGAAAAAAAATAATGCGGTAGAGAAAAAAACTAGTGAGGTAGGGGAAAAAATTAGTGAGGTAGAGGGAAACATTTTTAGTGAAGTGGAGAAACAAAACTCACGTTATAGACCACAATGTTTAATAATTTCTTCATTGTCAGACTAAAAGGATATATACCCCCATGACTTTAAAAAATTATTCATATTGACAATAAAAAAAAAAAAATCATACGAGTCAAATTAAGTTTCTGTATTTAACTCCGAGAATTAATATATAGATGTATTTAAATCGTGGACTCTGCTCTGTCCTTTGGTGTACCTCAGTGAAAGTCCAAGGTTAGTCTGTAGGCTTTTATATGCTATACTGTACAGGTAATTTACGTGTTAATTAGTAGAAACCACCACAGGAGCATCATGGGGTAGTGATGATAGGTCCTAATGTTTATATCACCTGAGAAATGTTGTATCTGTCTGCCACATCTTTCTCTATTGACAAGGGGAAGTTCCACATTCCCCCCTCGGCCAAGAGAGGTGGAATACGAGGGCAGTTCCACATTCCCCTCGGTCATAACATCCACACCATCCCCTCGGCCAAGAGAGGTGGAATACAAGGGCAGTTCCACATTCCCCTCGGTCAGAAAAGGTGGACTCTGAGGGAAGTTCCACATTCCCCTCGGTTATAGCATCCACATCATCCCCTCGGCCAAGAGAGGTGGAATACTGTACAAGGGCAGCTCTACAAACCCCGGTCATGACGTCACCGCTTGTAGCATCAAAATAGTCCGTCAATGTAACTTGTATTTTTGTGTAACGTCTATTGATCAGGGACTTTTGTGCTTCCTCGCTGGCTTTTTGTGTTTGAGTGTTAATATTGGTGTTAAAGGTCACGGTATATTGGCGTTAAGGATCATGTTATATTGGTGTATAAAGTTCGTGTTATATTGGCGTTAAAGGTCACGTTATATTGGCGTTAAAGATCACGTTATATTGGTGTTAAAGGTCACGTTATATTGGCGTTAAGGATCATGTTATATTGGTGTTTAAAGTTCATGTTATATTGGCGTTAAAGGTCACGCTATATTGGTGTTAAAGGTCACGTTATATTGGCGTTAAGGATCATGTTATATTGGTGTTTAAAGTTCATGTTATATTGGCGTTAAAGGTCACGTTATATTGGCGTTAAAGGTCATGTTATTTTGGTGTTAAAAGTCAGTTAATATTGGCGTTAAGGGTCATGGTATATTGGGGTTAAAGGTCACGTTACATTGGCGTTAAAAGTCACTTAATAATGGCGTTAAAGGTCACGTTATATTGGCGTTAAAGGTGAAGAGCTTGGACTTGTGTTTGGTGAAGGGTTTTGACGTTTATTCTAATTGATTAAGATTATTATAATTTATTATAGTTTATTCTGATTAATTATAGTTTATTCTAATTTATTATACAGTTTATTCTAATTTGTTATGTATTTTATTCTTTTTTCTTATACTGTTTCCTATGAATATTTGATTGTTATTTTTAAGGAGTTGTAAGAAATTTAACCACCAAACCTAACCTAACCTAACCTAACCTAACCTAACCTAACCTAACCTAACCTAACCTAACCTAACCTAACCTAACCTAACCACATCGATGGGAAAAGCTATAGGTCACTGGTTAAGGTAAGGAGAGAGAGAGAGAGAGAGAGAGAGAGAGAGAGAGAGAGGGGGGGGGTAAATGGTGGTGGAGTGTGATAAAGTGTGTAGGAGGGAGGTAGGAAGGAGAGGGTAGAAGAGAATGGATGATGAGGCGTAGGAGGAGATAGTGAGGTAATAGGTGATAAGAACGGTGGGAGAAGCAAGAGGAATAAGAGAAGGTAGGAGAAGAGAGAGGAGGAAAAAGAAGAGTGGGCAGAAGATCATGGAAGAGACAGAAAGGAAAAGGAATCGGATGAGGGACAGGAGGAGGAGATGATGACAGGATAGAAGGAAAAAGGACAGAAGTTAGAGATAATGATAATAACAGGATGGAAAGGAAAGGAAAGATAAAAATTAAGAGAAGGCAATGAATTAAGGGAAAGGTCTTAGTGGCTCTGGTGGAAAGGAAATGGGAAGGGAGGGTGGGAGAGAAGGTCCTAAACCCCCATCCCCCTATGAGATACTGTATAGGTAATCCTTGGGGTCGACGGTCATACTGTAGGCGTTTCTTTGTCACTTTAGTCGCCTCACTCTTGTTATTTTCACCGTGCTGAGGCGAGTATTATTTTAACCAAGTGTGTATATTTAAGAGGAATTATGTAGTGGAAGTAAATTATACATATTGCAGGCTATTTACATACATACATTCATAACATACACATAACAACATATTGGTATTCAGAGTCATACGAGCTATATGATTTGTTATGCTGGCTATTTACGTACACACACACACACACACACACACACACACACACATCTCTCTCATAACTGAGAATTAATAAAAGAGGAACTGGCATATAGGGTACGTGAGAGGGGTTGTGCAAGAAGGGGGGGGCAGAAGGGGTTGTGCAAGGAGGGTGGGGGGGCAGAAGGGGTTGTACAAGATGGGTGGTGGGGGGTGAGTGTGGGGGGTGGATGGAGGGAGGAGAGAAAGCACTGACAAATAGCAACGGTGATGATTTATGGGGTAGTGTTTGT